CCCTCACTGACCATTCCCTGCTGACCATTCCCTCACTGACCATTCCCTGCTGACCATTCCCTGCTGACCATTCCCCTCACTGACCATTCCCCTCACTGACCATTCCCTGCTGACCATTCCCTGCTGACCATTCCCTCACTGACCATTCCCTCACTGACCATTTCCCTCACTGACCATTCCCTGCTGACCATTCCCTCACTGACCATTCCCCTCACTGACCATTCCCTCACTGACCATTCCCTGCTGACCATTCCCTGCTGACCATTCCCCTCACTGACCATTCCCCTCACTGACCATTCCCTGCTGACCATTCCCTGCTGACCATTCCCCTCACTGACCATTCCCCTCACTGACCATTCCCTGCTGACCATTCCCTGCTGACCATTCCCTCACTGACCATTCCCTCACTGACCATTCCCTGCTGACCATTCCCTGCTGACCATTCCCCTCACTGACCATTCCCCTCACTGACCATTCCCTGCTGACCATTCCCTCACTGACCATTCCCCTCACTGACCATTCCCTCACTGACCATTCCCTGCTGACCATTCCCTCACTGACCATTCCCTCACTGACCATTCCCTCACTGACCATTCCCCTCACTGACCATTCCCTGCTGACCATTCCCCTCACTGACCATTCCCTGCTGACCATTCCCTGCTGACCATTCCCTCACTGACCATTCCCCTCACTGACCATTCCCTGCTGACCATTCCTCTCACTGACCATTCCTCTCACTGACCATTCCCTCACTGACCATTCCCTGCTGACCATTCCCTCACTGACCATTCCCCTCACTGACCATTCCCTCACTGACCATTCCCTGCTGACCATTCCCTCACTGACCATTCCCCTCACTGACCATTCCCTCACTGACCATTCCCTGCTGACCATTCCCCTCACCGACCATTCCCTCACTGACCATTCCCTGCTGACCATTCCCTGCTGACCATTCCCCTCACTGACCATTCCCCTCACTGACCATTCCCTGCTGACCATTCCCCTCACTGACCATTCCCCTCACTGACCATTCCCTCACTGACCATTCCCTCACTGACCATTCCCCTCACTGACCATTCCCTGCTGACCATTCCCTGCTGACCATTCACTCACTGACCATTCCCTCACTGACCATTCCCTGCTGACCATTCCCTCACTGACCATTCCCTCACTGACCATTCCCTCACTGACCATTCCCCTCACTGACCATTCCCTCACTGACCATTCCCTCACTGACCATTCCCTGCTGACCATTCCCTGCTGACCATTCCCTCACTGACCATTCCCTCACTGACCATTCCCTCACTGACCATTCCCTGCTGACCATTCCCTGCTGACCATTCCCCTCACTGACCATTCCCTCACTGACCATTCCCTGCTGACCATTCCCTGCTGACCATTCCTCTCACTGACCATTCCCTGCTGACCATTCCCCTCACTGACCATTCCCTCACTGACCATTCCCTGCTGACCATTCCCTGCTGACCATTCCTCTCACTGACCATTCCCTGCTGACCATTCCCTCACTGACCATTCCCCTCACTGACCATTCCCTGCTGACCATTCCCCTCACTGACCATTCCCCTCACTGACCATTCCCTCACTGACCATTCCCTGCTGACCATTCCCTGCTGACCATTCCTCTCACTGACCATTCCCTCACTGACCATTCCCTGCTGACCATTCCCTGCTGACCATTCCCCTCACTGACCATTCCCTCACTGACCATTCCCTGCTGACCATTCCCTGCTGACCATTCCTCTCACTGACCATTCCCTCACTGACCATTCCCTCACTGACCATTCCCTGCTGACCATTCCCTGCTGACCATTCCCCTCACTGACCATTCCCTGCTGACCATTCCCTGCTGACCATTCCCTCACTGACCATTCCCTCACTGACCATTCCCCTCACTGACCATTCCCTCACTGACCATTCCCTGCTGACCATTCCCTCACTGACCATTCCCCTCACTGACCATTCCCTCACTGACCATTCCCCTCACTGACCATTCCCTGCTGACCATTCCTCTCACTGACCATTCCCCTCACTGACCATTCCCTCACTGACCATTCCCTCACTGACCATTCCCTGCTGACCATTCCCCTCACTGACCATTCCCCTCACTGACCATTCCCTCACTGACCATTCCCTGCTGACCATTCCCTCACTGACCATTCCCTCACTGACCATTCCCTGCTGACCATTCCCCTCACTGACCATTCCCCTCACTGACCATTCCCCTCACTGACCATTCCCTGCTGACCATTCCCTGCTGACCATTCCCTCACTGACCATTCCCTCACTGACCATTCCCCTCACTGACCATTCCCTGCTGACCATTCCCCTCACTGACCATTCCCTGCTGACCATTCCCTCACTGACCATTCCCTCACTGACCATTCCCCTCACTGACCATTCCCTGCTGACCTTTCCCCTCACTGACCATTCCCTGCTGACCATTCCCCTCACTGACCATTCCCCTCCCTGTATAATTTGAATTCCTGGTGAGGTTATAAAGCCACAAAATTCCCTCCTTGGCAGCTGAATCCAGAATATTTTCCATTTCAATAGTAAAAAACCCGATTTAAGTATTTTAGGTGTTTCCTGGCTGTTTTTTCACGGCTCCCAGGAGCATCTCAGAGGGGCAAACCCATTCCTGTCCCTTTTTTTGTGTCCTTTTCAGCAGAATTTTTGGGTTGTGCTGCAGGGCCCAGGCTCACACAGGGCTCCTGCCTGTGCTGATTCCATCAATAATTCAATTTTTATCCCCTTGGTTATACCAGCAAACACAGGCCCATCCTGACAGAGGATTTCCAGAGAAATTCCCCAAAAATGATCCATCCCAGGAGATCCCCAGGGCCGGGAGAGCTTTGTTGGGTGTGTGGAATCACAGAATTGCTTCAGCTGGGAAAGGAGCCCAACCTTTGGTCTTCAGCCCAGATGCTGGGCCCTCTCCTGGTGTGAATTCTGTTGTGACAGCATCCCTGGCACTGCTGGGCTCTTTCCTTTGTATTTTCTGCTCTGACAGGATCCCTCTCCGCGTTTGGTTGTTTCTTTGTTGGTTTTCCTGCCCTCTCACAGGATCCCTGTTTGTCCTGGGTTGTTTCCCTGCCCTCTCACAGGATCCCCGTCTGTTTCCTTTTGTATTTTCTGCCCTCTAACAGGATTCCTGGCACTGTTGGGTTGTTTTTCTCATCTCTAACAGCATCCCTGTCTGTGTGGGGTTGTTTCCTTGTGTATTTTCTCCTTTCTAACAGCATCCCTGTCTGGTTTGGGCTGTCCCTGGTGCTTTTTGTGCCCTCTAACAGGATCCCTGTTTGTCCTGGGTTGTTTCCGTTTGTATTTTCTCCTCTCTCACAGTGTCCCTGTCTGTTTTTGGTTGTTTCCTTATTGGTTTTTCTCCTCTCTAACAGGATCCCTGGTGCTTTTGGGTTGTTTTACTGCTCTCTAACAGGATCCCTGTCCATGTTGGGTTGTTTCCTTTTGTATTTTCTCCTCTCTAACAGGATCCCTGTGTGTTTCCTGGTTGGTTTTCCTGCTCTCTGACAGGATTCCTGGCAGTCCTGGGTTTCTCTGACAGGATCCAGGTGGTTTTTCTGCTCTCTAACAGGATCCTGTCCATGTTGGGTTATTTCCTTGTTGGTTTTCCTGCTCTCTAACAGGATCCCTGTCTGTCCTGGGCTGTTTCCTTTTGTATTTCCTGCCCTCTGACAGCATCCCTGGCAGTGCTGGGCTGTTCCTGGTGGTTTTTCTGCTCTCTAACAGGATCCCTGTTTATCCTGGGTTGTTTCCTTGTTGGTTTTCCTCCTCTCTAACAGGCTCCTGTCTGTTTTGGGCTGTTTCCTTGTGTATTTCCTGCCCTCTGACAGCATCCCTGGCAGTGTGGGGTGGTTTCTCTCCTCTCTAACAGGCTCCTCGTCTGTTTTCGGTTGTTTCCTTGTTGGTTTTCCTGCTCTCTGACAGGATCCCTGTCCATGCTGGGCTGTTTCCTTTTCTATTTTCTCCACTCTGACAGAATCCCTGTCTGTTTTGGGCTGTCCCTGGTGGTTTCTCTGCCCTCTAACAGCATCCCTGTCTGGTTTTGGTTGTTTCCTTTTGTATTTCCTCCTCTCTCACAGGCTTCCTGTCTGTTTTTGGTTGGTTTTCTCCCCTCTCACAGTGTCCCTGTCTGTTTTTGGTTGTTCCCATTTGTATTTTCTCTCTCTCACAGTGTCCCTGTGTGTTTTGTGTTATTTTCTGGTTGTATTTCTGTCTCTCACCATCTCCCTGTGTGGTTTTGGGTTGTTCTCATTTGTATTTTCTCCCCCTTCACCATGTCCCTGTCTGGTTTTGGGTTATTTTCTGATTGTTTCTCTGTCTCTGACCATGTCCCTGTGTGTTTTGGGTTATTTCCTTGTGTATTTTCTCCCCTCTCACCGTGTCCCTGTGTGTTTTGGGTCATTTCCTTGTGTATTTTTTGTCTCTCACGGTGTCCCTTTGTGTTTTTGGTTGTTCCCATTTGTATTTTCTGTCTCTCACGGTGTCCCTATGTGTTTTGGGTTATTTCCTGGTTGTTTCTCTGCTCTCTGACCCAATCCCTGTCTGTTTTTGGTTGTTTCCATGTGCATTTTCTCCCCTCTCACAGTGTCCCTGTGTGGTTTTGGGTTATTTCCTTGTGTATTTTCTGTCTCTCACCGTGTCCCTGTGTGTTTTGGGTTATTTCCTGGTTGTTTCTCTGCCTCTCACAATCTCCCTGTCTGGTTTTGGTTGTTCCCATTTGTATTTTCTCTCTCTCACAGTGTCCCTGTCAATTTTGGCTGTTCCCATTTGTATTTTCTTCCCCCTCACCGTGTCCTGTGTTTTGGTTTATTTGCTGGTTGTATTTCTGTCTCTCACCGTGTCCCCGTGTGTTTTGGGTTATTTTCTGGTTGTTTCTCTGCTCTCTTACCCAATCCCTGTGTGTTTTGGGTTATTTTCTGGTTGTTTTCTGTCTCTGACCGTGTCCCCGTGTGTTGCAGCCCCCCCAGGCCCGTGGCTAACATGAACGAGGCCCTGGTCACCCACGTGTCCTCGGGAGCGCCCACGCCAACCAAAAGGTACCGGGGGCTCACCCGGCCTCGCTCCTGGCCAGGGGGTGCCAGGGGTGCCAGCTGGGCATGGGGTGTCCCAGGTGTGCCAGCTGGGCAGGGGGGGTGCCAGGTGTGCCAGCTGTACCAGGGGTGACAGCTGGGCAGGGACAGGGGATGACAGGTGTGCCAGGTGTGCCAGGTGTGCCACTGGGCAGGGACAGGGACACCTCCCAGGTGTGCCAGCTCAGCTCCTGGGGCTGCTCTGGCAGGGCAGGAAAGCCCTGAGTGGGGACCGGCAGAGCTGGGTAATAAATAAATAAAAATAAATATTAAAAATATATTAATATAATGTAATATAATATAATGTAATGTAATATAATGTAATGTAATGTAATGTAATGTAATGTAATATAATGTAATATAATATAATATAATATAATATAATATAATATAATATAATATACCCCTGCCGAGCAGTGAGGTGCAAGCAGTGCTTTGCAGAGCTGGAGAATAAATAAATATAAATATAGACCAAAAAAAAAAATCTTATAAATAAATAAATATTCCTGCTGAGCAGCATGGTGCAGGCTGTGATTGGCAGAGCTGGGTAATGAATAAATATAAGTAAATATAAAATAAATATAATAGTATAAATAAATTATAGAATAATAATACTATTCTATAAAATAGAAATAATTTAATTCTATAATATTATAAATAAATTATAGAATAATAGTATTATTCTATAATTATAATAAATACATTATAGAATAAATAAATATTATATATAAAGAATTAAATGTTCCTGCTGAACAGCAGTGTGCAGGCGGGGCTTGGCAGAGCTGGGTCATAAATAAATTAAAATTAATATAAATAAATATAACATTGTAAATAAATGATAGAATAATATTACTCTATAATTGTAAATAATTAAATTCTGTAATACTATAAATAAATTATAGAATAATAATATTGTTCTATAATTATAATAAATATATTATAGAATAAAAATATTATATTATATTATATTATATTATATTATATTATATTATATTAGTTAAATATTCCTGCCAAGCAGTGAGGTGCAGGCTGTGCTTGGCAGAGCTGGGTAGTAAATAAATATTAATCAATATATATAATATATAATATATTATATATTATATATTATATATTATATATTATATATTATATATTATATATTATATATTATATATAATATGTCCTAGAGTTCTGGGGTTCTGGAGCTCTGGAATTCTGGGGTTCTGGGATTCTTGGGTTCTGGGATGATGGGATTATGGGGTTCTAGCGTTCTGGGGTTCAGGAATTCTGCGGTTCTGGGGTGCCCTGGCTCCCTGCCTGGGCCATTTCCAGGCCCCCTCTGTAATCCCTGCCAGCCCACCCAGCCCCAGCTGTGCCCAGTGCCCACCTTGTGCCCAGCCCAGGGCACTCAGTGCCACATCCAGGTGCCACCTGCAGGGATGGGCACTGCCAGCCTCCCTGGGCAGCTGTGCCGGTGCCTGGCTGTCCCCAGTGTCCCCTCCCTGTGTCAGAGCAGCAGCAGTGCCCTCACAGAGCCCCGCATTTCCCAGATTTGCCCGAATTCATGGAGTTTTTGTTGTTTTTCTGCTCTCCCCGCCCCTGCCAGGTGCCAGCCCAGCCGCAGCAGCAGCCCCGAGCCGTGCCGGGAGGAGCACGCCCTGATTGCCACCTTTGTGAGGCACCTGCGGAGCGGGGCACGGTCAGTGCCAGCCCGGGGACACTGGGGACACTGGGGACACTGAGGTGTCCCTGATTGCCACCTTTGTGAGGCACCTGCGGAGCGGGGCACGGTCAGTGCCAGCCCGGGGACACTGGGGACACTGGGGGTGTCCCTGATTGCCACCTTTGTGAGGCACCTGCGGAGCGGGGCACGGTCAGTGCCAGCCCGGGGACACTGGGGACACTGGGGACACTGAGGTGTCCCTGATTGCCACCTTTGTGAGCCCGGGGACACACTGGGGACACACACGGGGGTGGCCCTGGGTGTCCCCAGCCTGGGCACTGAGATCCCCTCTCACAAATCCTGATTGATCCCAAGTGGGTTCATTCCTTCACCTCTCGCTGTGACCCTGCTGGAATCTCACACCAAATTTCCACTGCTGGAATCTCATCTTTTCCCCCAAATTTTCCCCTGCAGGAATCTCATAATTTTCCCCAATTTTTCCCCTGCAGGAATCTCATAATTTTCCCCAAATTTTTCCCCTGCTGGAATCTCAGATTTCCCCCCCAATTTCCCCCTGTTGGAATCTCATCTTTCCCCTGCTGGAATCTCAACTTTTTCCCCAAATTCCCCCCTGCTGGAATCTCAGAAATCCCCCTGATGCATCTCATCCTACCCCCTGCTGGAATCTCATCTTTTTCCCCAAATTTTCCCTGCTGGAATCTCAGATTTGCTTCTGCTGGAATCTCATCTTCCTCCAAATTTCTTCCTGCTTGAATCTCATCTTTCCGAAATTTCCCCCTGTTGGAATCTCATTTTTTCCCCACATTTCCCCTGTTGGAATCTCATTTTCCCCCTGCTGGAATCTCATATTTTTTTCCAAATTCCCCCCTGCTGGAATCTCATCTTTTTCCCCAAATTTCCCTCTGCTGGAAGATCTTTTTTTCCCCGTGCTGGAATCTCATCTTTTTCCCCAAAATTCCCCCTGCTGGAATCTTATTTCACCCCAAATTTCCCCTGCTGGAATCTCATCTTTCCCCTGCTGGAATCTCATCTTTTTCCACAAAATTCCCCCCTGCTGGAATCTCATCTTTCCCCCAAATTTCCCCCCTGCTGGAATCTCATCTTTTCCCCCATTTCCTCTTGTTGGAATCTCATCTTTCCCCTGCTGGAAATCTCATCTTTTCCCCCAAATTTTCCCCTGCTGGGATCTCAGAAATCCCCCTGATGGAATCTCGTCTCCCCCTATGGGAATATCATCGTTTTCCCCAAATTTTCCCCTTTTGGAATCTCATCTTTCCCAAATTTCCCCCTGCTGGAATCTCATCTTTCCCCCTGCTGGAATCTCATCTTCCTCCAAATTTCCTCCTGCTGGAATCTCATCTTTGTCCCCCAAATTTCCCCTGTTGGAATCTCATCTTTCCCCTGTTGGAATCTCATATTTTACCCCGAATTTCCCCCTGCTGGAATCTCATCTCACCCTAAATTTTCCCTGAGTGTCCCGTGAGGGTCCCCATTCCCTGGTGTCCCCCAGCTGTCCCCTGTCCCTCAATGTCCCCAGGGTGCCCCCTCTCCCTCAGTGTCCTTTCTCCCTCAATATCCCCTCTCCCTGAGTGTCCCCTGAGTGTCCCCGGTCCCTCAGTGTCCCTTCTCCCTGAGTGTCCCATTTCCCTGAGTGTCCCCTGAGTGTCCCCCTCCCTGGCTGCCCCCTGCCCTGCCCAGGCCATGTGTGCCCCCTGTCCCCTCTGGGTGGCACAGGTACCTTCCTGGCACACGTTTCCCCTCTTTCTGCTGTGCCAGTCCCACCCCCTTCCCTTCCCTTCCCTTCCCTTCCCTTCCTTTCCCTTCCCTTCCCTTCCCTTCCCTTCCCTTCCCTTCCCTTCCCTTCCCTTCCCTTCCCTTCCCTTCCCTTCCCTGGCATCTCCTGCTGCCCTGGCACTGTTGCCTGTCCCCAGGGTCCCCTCAGTGTCACTGTGCCCAGCCCAGGTGTGCCCAGCCCAGGTGTGTGACCTGTCCTGGTCCCTCCTTTCCATCAGGGCTGAGCTGGAGCCCCTGGCACAGGGCAAGGTGGCACTGACATGGCAGGGGTGGCACTGGCCGGGCTTTGGGGACACTCCCCAGCCACACCAGGCTGGGCTTCCCTGGTGCCGGACCTGTGCCAGACCTGTGCCAGACCTGTGCCAGCCCCCAGGGTGGCTGGGATAGCTCAGGGCCTGGCTGGGCATGAGCACAGAGGGGCCAGGAGGGGCCAGATCACCTGGAATGGTGTTTGTGACGCAGGGGATTGTGTGTGAGCCCTCTCCTTCCTCTGCAAGGAGCACAGCTCTGGTAGAATGGTGTTTGTAACTCAGAAAATTCTGTGGGAGGCCTCTTCACACCCCTGCAAAGAGCACAGCAGTGCCAAGAGAAGCCAGATCATCCAGAAAGGTGTTTGTAACTCAGAGGATTCTCTGTGAGCCCTCTTCTTCCTCTGCAAGGAGCACAGATCTGGGCCAGATCACTTGGAATGGTGTTTTTAGCTCGGGGGGTTCTGTGTGAGCCCTCTCCACACCTCTGCAAGGAGCACAGAGGGGCCAGATAATCCAGAATGGGGTTTGTAACTCAAGAGGGGCCAGATCACCTGGACAGGTGTTTGTAACTTAGGGAATTCTGTGTGAGCCCTCTCCTTCCTCTGCAAGGAGCACAGATCTGGAACAGATCACCCAAAATGGTGTTTTTAGCTCAGGGATTTCTCTGTGAGCTCTCTCCACATCTCTGCAAGGAGCACAGATCTGGAACAGATCACCTGGAAAGGAGTTTTTAGCTCAGGGGATTCTCTGTGAGCCCTCTCCACACCCCTACGAGGAGCACAGCACTGCCAGGAGGGGCCAGATCCCCTGGAATGGTGTTTGTAACTCATGGAATTCTCTGTGAGCCCTCTCAATACCCCTGCGAGGGGCACAGATCTGGGCCAGATCACCCAGAATGGTGTTTTTAGCCCAGGGGGTTCTGTGTGAGCCCTCTCCCTCCTCTGCTGCTGGGGAACCCTCTGGCTTCTCTCCCTGCATCCTCCTCCTACGCAGCTCTGGTTCCCTGGGCTGGCCCTGGGTGGTTTGGGAGTGTCCTGGGCTGGCTCTGGGTTGGTTTTGAGGTTCCCTGGGCTGGATCTGGTCAGGTTTTACAGTGCCCTGGCTCACCCTGTGCTGTTTGCAGTGCCCTGGGCTGGCTCTGGTCAGGTTCTACAGTGCCCTGGCTCACTCTGGGTTGTTTTGCAGTGCCCTGGGCTGGTTCTGGTCAGCTTTGGCAGCGTCCTGGAACCCTAGGCTGGCTCTGGGTTGGTTTTGGAGTGTCCTGGTAGCCCTGGGCTCACCCTGGGTTGGTTTGGAATGCCCTGGGCTGGCTCTGGGTTGGTTTGGAATGCCCTGGGCTGGCTCTGGGTTGGTTATGAGGTTCCCTGGGCTAGCTCTGGTCAGGTTTCACAGTTCCCTGGGCTGGCTCTGGGTTGGTTTTGAGGTTCCCTGGGCTGGTTCTGGTCAGGTTTCACAGTGCCCTGGGCTGGCTCTGGGTTGGTTTTGAGGTTCCCTGGGCTGGCTCTGGGCTGGTTTTGAGGTTCCCTGGGCTGGCTCTGGGTTGGTTTGCAGTTCTCTGGGCTGGCTGTGGTCAGGTTTTGCAGTGCCCTGAGCTGGCCCTGGGTTGGTTTTGAGGTTCCCTGGGCTGGCTCTGGGTTGGTTTGCAGTTCTCTGGGCTGGCTGTGGTCAGGTTTTGCAGTGCCCTGGGCTGGCCCTGGGTTGGTTTTGAGGTTCCCTGGGCGGGCTCTGGTCGGGTTTCACAGTTCCCTAGGCTGGCTCTGGGTTGATTTCACAGTTCCCTGGTCTCACCCTGTGCTGTTTTGCAGTGCTCTGGGCTGGCTCTGGTCAGGTTTGGCAGTGTCCTGGAACCCTGGGCTGGCTCTGGGTTTGGTTTTGGAGTGTCCTGGCAGCCCTGGGCTCGCCCTGTGCTGTTTCGCAGTTCCCTGGGCTCGCCCTGTGCTGTTTTGCAGTGCTCTGGGCTGGCTCTGGGCTGGTTTTGAGGTTTCCTGGGCTCACTCTGGGTTGGTTTTACAGTGCCCTGGACAGCCCTGGATTGTTTCTGGACAGGTTTCACAGTCCCCTGGGCTGGCTCTGGTCAGGTTTTACAGTGCCCTGGGCTGGCCCTGGGTTGGTTTTGAGGTTTGCTGGGCTGGCTGTGGTCAGGTTTGGCAGTGTCCTGGGCTCACTCTGGGTTGGTTTCACAGTTCCCTGCTCTGACCCTGTGCTGTTTTGCAGTGCCCTGGACAGCCCTGGGCTCAGTCTGGTCAGGTTTGGCAGTGCCCTGGGCTGGCTGTGGTCAGGTTTGCAGTGCCCTGTCTCACTCTGGGTTGGTTTGGCAGTGCCCTGGGCTGGCTGTGGTCAGGTTTGCAGTGCCCTGTCTCACTCTGGGTTGGTTTCACAGTTCCCTGCTCTGACCCTGTGCTGTTTTGCAGTGCCCCGGACAGCCCAGGCCGGCTGGACGAGGAGCACCGGCTCATCGCCCGCTACGCCGCGCGCCTGGCTGCTGAGGCTGGCAATGCTGTGAGTGCCATGGGGACACTGGGGACACTGGGGGACACTGGGGACACTGCTGGCAATGCTGTGAGTGCCATGGGGACACTGGGGACACTGGGGGACACTGGGGACATTGGGGACATTGGGGAGACACTGCTGGCAATGCTGTGAGTGCCATGGGGACACTGGGGGACACTGCTGGCAATGCTGTGAGTGCCATGGGGACACTGGGGACACTGGGGACACTGGGGACACTGGGGACATTGGGGAGACACTGCTGGCAATGCTGTGAGTGCCATGGGGACACTGGGGACACTGGGGACACTGGGGACATTGGGGACATTGGGGAGACACTGCTGGCAATGCTGTGAGTGCCATGGGGACACTGGGGACACTGGGGACACTGGGGACACTGGAGGACACTGGGGGACACTGCTGGCAATGGGGACACTGGGGACACTGGGGGACACTGGGGACACTGCTGGCAATGCTGTGAGTGCCATGGGGACACTGGGGACACTGGGGACACTGGGGACATTGGGGGCACACTGCTGGCAATGCTGTGAGTGCCATGGGGACACTGGGGGGACACTGGGGACACTGCTGGCAATGCTGTGAGTGCCATGGGGACACTGGGGGACACTGGGGGACACTGGGGACATTGGGGAGACACTGCTGGCAATGCTGTGAGTGCCCTTCCTGCCATGGGGACACTGGGGACACTGGGGGACACTGGGGGACACTGGGGACACTGGGGACACTGCTGGCAATGCTGTGAGTGCCCTGTCCTGCCATGGGGACACTGGGGGGACACTGGGGACACTGCTGGCAATGCTGTGAGTGCCATGGGGACACTGGGGACACTGGGGACATTGGGGGCACACTGCTGGCAATGCTGTGAGTGCCATGGGGACACTGGGGACACTGGGGACACTGGGGGACACTGCTGGCAATGCTGTGAGTGCCATGGGGACACTGGGGACACTGGGGGACACTGGGGACACTGCTGGCAATGCTGTGAGTGCCATGGGGACACTGGGGACACTGGGGGACACTGGGGACATTGGGGAGACACTGCTGGCAATGCTGTGAGTGCCATGGGGACACTGGGGACACTGGGGACACTGGGGGACACTACTGGCAATGCTGTGAGTGCCATGGGGACACTGGGGACACTGGGGGACACTGCTGGCAATGCTGTGAGTGCCATGGGGACACTGGGGACACTGGGGACACTGCTGGCAATGCTGTGAGTGCCATGGGGACACTGGGGACACTGGGGGGACACTGCTGGCAATGCTGTGAGTGCCCTGTCCTGCCATGGGGACACTGGGGGGACACTGGGGACACTGCTGGCAATGCTGTGAGTGCCATGGGGACACTGGGGACACTGGGGACATTGGGGGCACACTGCTGGCAATGCTGTGAGTGCCATGGGGACACTGGGGACACTGGGGACACTGGGGGACACTGCTGGCAATGCTGTGAGTGCCATGGGGACACTGGGGACACTGGGGGACACTGGGGACACTGCTGGCAATGCTGTGAGTGCCATGGGGACACTGGGGACACTGGGGGACACTGGGGACATTGGGGAGACACTGCTGGCAATGCTGTGAGTGCCATGGGGACACTGGGGACACTGGGGACACTGGGGGACACTACTGGCAATGCTGTGAGTGCCATGGGGACACTGGGGACACTGGGGGACACTGCTGGCAATGCTGTGAGTGCCATGGGGACACTGGGGACACTGGGGACACTGCTGGCAATGCTGTGAGTGCCATGGGGACACTGGGGACACTGGGGGGACACTGCTGGCAATGCTGTGAGTGCCCTGTCCTGCCATGGGGACACTGGGGGACACTCAGGGTTTGAGCAGAATTTTTGAGCAAAGCAAGGGCTGGCTCTGTGCCCAGGAGGAGCCATTTGGGCTCTGGGGCTGGGCTTTGTGACCTGAAGGGCTTCAAAAAACAGAGGAAAATGGAATTGGTGCAGTGCAGGGTGGGCAGGGAGCTCAGCCCTGGGACCCCCTGACACCAGAGCACCCAGGGGTGTCCCAGGGTGGGAGCTGTGGCTGCAAACCAGGGACGGACTGGTGGCACTGGTGGCACTGCTGTGATTGTGTGATTGTGTGATTTCTGTGTTTTCTATGATTTGTGTGATTGTATGATTGTGTGATTTCTGTCATTTCTGTGTGTTCTGTTACTTGTGTGATTGCTGTGATTGTGTATTTTCTGTGTTTTCTGTGATTGTGTGATTTCTGTGATTTTTATGATTTCTGTGATGGTGTATTTTCTGTGTTTTCTCTGATTTGTATGATTGCTGTGATTTGTGTGATTTCTGTAATTTCTGTGTTTTCTGTGACTTCTGTGACCTGTGTGATTGTGTGATTTCTGTGTTTTATGTGTTTTCTGTGATTTGTGTGATTTCTGTGATTGTGTGACTTCTGTGATTGGTGTGATTTGTGTGATATCTGTGTTTTCTGTGACTTCCGTGTTTGTGTGTTTTCTGTGATTGATATGATTTCTGTGATTGTGTCTTTTCTGTGTTTTCTATGATTTGTATGATTGCGTGATCGGTGTGATTGTGTGATTTGTGTGATTTCTGTAATTTCTGTGTTTTCTGTGACTTGTGTGATTGTGTAATTTCTGTGATTTCTGTGATTGATATTATTTCTGTGATTGTGTGATTGTATCATTTGTGTGATTTCTATGTTTTGTGTGTTTTCTATTATTTGTGTCATTTATATAATTTCTGTATTTTATGTGTTTTCTATGATTTGTATGATTTGTGTCATTTCTGTGTTTTCTGTGACTTGTGTGATTGTGTATTTTTTGTGATTTCTGTGATTGGTGTGATTTCTGTGATTGTGTGATTCTGTGATTTCTGTGTTTTCTGTGATTATGGGATTTGTGTATTTTCTGTGATTTGTGTATTTTCACTGATTTCTGTGTTTGGTGTGATTGGTGTGATTTCTCTGATTTCTCTGATTTCTGTGATTGTGTGATTTCTATTTTTTCTGTGATTTCTGCGCTTGTGATTGGTGTGATTCTGTGATTTCTGTGATTTGAATGGTGTGATTTGTGTGATTTCTCTGATTTATATGATTATGTGTTTTCTGTGATTTCTGTGATTTCTCTAATTTCTGTGATTGTGTGATTTGTGTATTTTCTGTGATTTCTGTGTTTTCTGCTTTCCGTGATTTGTGTGATTGGTGTAATTTCTGTGTTTTCTGTGATTGTGTGATTTGTGTATTTTCTCTGATTTCTGTGTTTTGTGTGATTGGTGTGGTTTCTCTGATTTCTGTGATTGTGTGATTTCTGATTTCTCTATAATTTCTGTGATTTCTGTGTTTTCTGCTACTCTGTGATTTCTGTGACTGTATTCTCTGTGATTCTGCGATTTCTGTGACTGTGTGATTTCTGTGATTGTGTGATTTCTGTGACTGTATTTTCTGTGATTTCTGTGGTTATTCTCAGTGATTTCTGTGACTGTGTGATTTCTGTGATTGTGTGATTTCTGTATTTTCTGTGACTTCCGTGACTGTACTCTGTGTGATTTCTGTGATTGTGTGATTTCTGTATTTTCTGCGATTTGTGCGGCTGCATTCCCCGTGATTTCTGTATTTTCTGTGATTTCTATATTTTCTATGATTTCTGTGCCTGCATTCCCTGACATTTCTGCCCTCTCTGACCCCCTGTTCTCTCTGCAGCCCCGTCCCCCTGCAGACCTGCCCTTCAGCTTCGATGCCAACAAGCAGCAGAGGCAGCTGATAGCAGAGCTGGAGAACAAGAACAGGTACAGCCCTGCTGGGACAGCCCATTCACTCGTTAATTACTCATTAACATCCGTTAATTAGCCGTGGGGAGGGGCTGCCCTGCCCTGTTCCCCAGGGAGGGGGTTTGATCTTCTTTAATCTTCTTAAAATCATCTTCTCCAGCACTGAGCACATCCAGCAAAACTCAGAGCTGGGAACTTTTCCCATTCTGTGCTGCTTTAGTGTGTGGGTCTGGGTTTCTACCAGGACATGGTGAGCTCTGGGCACAGAGCAGGGACACAAAACAATTCCTGCTCCAGCTGGGCACCAAGGACAAATGACCCAAATCTCAGCCCAGGAGCACAAACAGGAGAGAGAAAAACAAGGATGGGACTGCAGGGGCTAAAGCTGGAATGGGACAATGAACTGCAAGGTGCAAATGGAGCAGAACTGATCCCAGTGACAGACCCCGTGCCTGGCTGTGCATTTTGGGGCCATTTTGGTTCATCTTGGGTTCATTCTGGGACCATTTTGGTTCATCCTGGGTTCATTTTGGGACCATTTTGGTTCCTCTTGGGTTCATTTTGGTTCCTCTTGGGTTCATTTTGGGGCCATTTTGGTTCATCTTGGGTTCATTTGGGGACCATTTTGGTTCATCCTGGGTTCATTTTGGGACCATTTTGGTTCATCTTGGGTTCATTTTGGGAACATTTTGGTTCATCTTGGGTGCAGCCCTGGCTGGGCTCTTGTGCTGCCCCAGGTGGATCCATGCAGGAGATCCTTTCAATCAATCCCTGCTTTATTCTGTAGCTCTGCCCAGCCTCTGCTCCAGCTCAGCCTGCACAAGGCATCACCCAGAGCAGCTGGGGCTGCCCCTGCATCCCTGGCACTGCCCAGGGCCAGGCTGGACAGTGGGGTTGGGACAGTGGCAGGTGTCAGGGGTGGCACTGGGGGGACTCTGAGCCCCCTTCCAAAGCCACCCGGGTGATTTTTGTTGCTGCAGAGGGTCACCTGTGGAGCCCCCCAGGCTCTCCCTGTGCCCATCCCTGTGCCCAGGCACCCTCAGCAGAGGGAAAAGGCTGTTCCAGGGCCCTTTGGAGCAGGAGAAGTTCCTGGAGAGCAGGAGCAGCTCAGCCCTGGTGTGACAGTGTTCACAGGGGTCCCAGGATGAGGGAAGAGACAAGGATCTGACTCCATGTTTCAGATGGCTGATTTATTATTTTATATATATTTTATATTATATATATATATTTTTAATATATATATTATTGTATATATATTTTATTATATATATTGTATAATATATATTTTTTATTTTTTATTTTTTTTATTTTAATATATATTATATTAAAACCATACTAAAAGAATAGAAGAAAGGATTTCATCAGAAGGCTAGCTAAGAATAGAAAAAGAATAACAAAGGTTTGTGACTGACCAAGACAGTCTGAGCCAGCTGACTGTGATTGGCCATTAATTAGAAACAACCACACGAGACCAATCACAGATGCACCTGTTGCATTCCACAGCAGCAGATAACCATTGTTCACATTTTGTTCCTGAGGCCTCTCAGCTTCTCAGGAGGAAAAATCCCAAGGAAAGGATTTTCCATAAGAGGTGTCTGTGGCAGCCCTGGCGGTGCTGCAGCCTTGGTGCCCCGGCAGGATGAGTGTGGAACGGTTCCTGGAGATCCCCTGGCAGCAGAGCAGCTCTGCAGTGTGGCAGCAAGGAGAGCTGGAGGTGACTCTGTGCTCTTGGAAGGGCTCCATCCCTGCTGCAGGGAACCATCCTGGCACTGTCCCCCTGCAGGGTCTGGGGCTGTGCCCACGGGCTGCTCGGGGAAGGGCACTGGGCTGTGCCAGAGCTGCCCCAGAGCCCCCCTGCAGCCCCTGAGGCTGGATTGGAGCCTCCTGGAGCAGCTCTGAGCCCCTTCGGTGCCAGGGAATGGAGAGATTGCAGGGAGGGATTGATCTGGGGAAGTAAAGAATGTGCCAGGTCCTGCAGGGCTGTGCCCACGTCCCTGTCCTGCCTGTGCCCACATCCCTGTCCTGGCTATGCCCACATCCCTGTCCTGGGGCTGTGCCCACATCCCTGTCCTGCCTGTGCCCACATCCCTGTCCTGGCTATGCCCATATCCCTGTCCTGCCTGTGCCCACATCCCTGTCCTGTTTGTGCCCACATCCCTGTCCTGGGGCTGTGCCCACATCCCTGTCCTGTTTGTGCCCACATCCCTGTCCTGGGGCTGTGCCCACATCCCTGTCCTGCCTGTGCCCACATCCCTGTCCTGGCTATGCCCATATCCCTGTCCTGCCTGTGCCCACATCCCTGTCCTGTTTGTGCCCACATCCCTGTCCTGGGGCTGTGCCCACATCCCTGTCCTGTTTGTGCCCACATCCCTGTCCTGGCTGTGCCCACATCCCTGTCCTGGGGCTGTGCCCACATCCCTGTCCTGGCTGTGCCCACATCCCTGTCCATGCCAGGCTGTGCCCACATCCCTGTCCTGGAGCTGTGCCCACATCCCTGTCCTGCCTGTGCCCACATCCCTGTCCTGTCTGTGCCCATATCCCTGTCCTGCCTGTGCCCACATCCCTGTCCTGTTTGTGCCCACATCCCTGTCCTGGGGCTGTGCCCACATCCCTGTCCTGTTTGTGCCCACATCCCTGTCCTGCCTGTGCCCATATCCCTGTCCTGGCTATGCCCACATCCCTGTCCTGGCTGTGCCCACATCCCTGTCCTGGGGCTGTGCCCACATCCCTGTCCTGGCTGTGCCCACATCCCTGTCCATGCCAGGCTGTGCCCACATCCCTGTCCTGGAGCTGTGCCCACATCCCTGTCCTGCCTGTGCCCACATCCTTATCCATGCCTGGCTGTGCCCATGTCCAGGTTTAGGGCAAATTTGGGAGAAAACCTCCAAAATGGGGCCCCTCCAGTAAGCAAACCCACACGACCCCTCCCCACAACCGGTTTGGGAAGGATTCCTCGGAGAAAAGTGGAAAGAACCTGTTTATTGAACAGGCACAGCACCCCCAGCACACAAAATGAACAATACCAGATGACAGCACTCTGAAAAGATGGCAAATCCAGAAAGCCTCTCTTGGGGGTGGTCGCTGTTATCAGTCCCTCTGGTGCTGGGGCAGCTGCTGCAGCCACAAGGTGCAGACTCTCGGTGTTCCCCAGGTCCCAGTCCGGAGCAGGTTCGAGATGGTCCAAAAAAGGGAAAGGAAAAACAGTGCAGGGATAAATGCAGACTGCTTAGCTAAACTAACTAAAGAGCAGGATAAATTCGGACTGCTTATCTAAACTAACTAAAGAGCAGGATAAATTCGGACTGCTTAGCTAAACTAACTAAAGAGCAGAAGCAAAAAGCAAGAGCAAAGCAGAAGCAAAGCAGAAGCAAGAGCAAAGCAAGGAGCCAAGCAAAAAGCAAAAGCAGCACCATGTACTGCCCCGTGTGTGTGTCCTACCAGCTGTGGGGAGGCTGATAAGAAACCAAAACAAAACTTTCACTCCTCAGAGCCAGTCTGGAATGCACAGAACACAATATCCAGCATAAACAGAACACACAAGCGGGGATACAAGCATCATAACGTCACCCTGTGACAAATATTCGTGTTAATATTTGTGAAATGACAATGATAAACAGGAGAATCGATACAGCCTAACTTTCTGACATAACACATATAGTATTAATTTGAATATTTGTGAAATGCCAATGATAAACAGGAAAATTGATACAGCCTAACTTTCTGACATCACACATCTAATATTCATTAATATTCACATCAGATGTGTGATTTTAGAAAGTTAGGCTGTATCAATTTTCCTGTTTATCATTGACAATGATAATGATACGTCAATGATAAACAGGAAAATTGATACAGCATCACTTTCTAACATCACACATCCAATATTCGTGTGAATATTTGTGAAAAGCCGATGATAAACAGGAAAATTGATACAGCCTAACTTTCTAACTTAACAGATACAATATTCATGTGAATATTTGTGACAAGCCAATGATAAACAGGAGAATTGATACAGCATAATTTTCTGATATCAGAGATCCAATATTCATGTGAATATCTGTGAAAAGCCAGTGATAAACAGGAAAATTGATGCAGCATCACTTTCTGACATTACACACATAATATTCATGTGAGTATCTGTGAAAAGCCAATGATAAACAGGAAAATTGATGCAGCCTAACTTTCTGACATCACACATCTAATATTCACATTAATATTTGCTAAAACCAGTGACGACCAGGCATTTCCCCGTTTACTGACCCCGTCCTTTCCCCCCGTGTGTGCAGGGAGATCCTGCAGGAGATCCAGCGGCTGCGGCTGGAGCACGAGCAGGCGTCGCAGCCCACGCCCGAGAAGGCGCAGCAGAACCCCACGCTGCTGGCGGAGCTGCGCCTGCTGCGGTAACGCGCCGGGGTGCAGGGGGTACCGGGATAGTGGGATAGTGGGGTACTGGGGTAATGGGGTAATGGGGTACAGGGATACTGGGGTACTGGGGTACAGGGATACTGGGGTACTGGGGTACTGGGGTACTGGGGTACAGGGGTACTGGGGCACTGGGGTACGAGGGTACTGAGGTACTGGGGCACTGGGATACTGGGGTACAGGGGTACTGGGATACGGGGGGATTGGGGTACTGGGGCACTGGGATAGTGGGGTACCGGGATAGCGGGGTACTGGGGTACAGGGGTACTGGGATAGTGGGGTACTGGCGTACTGGAGTACTGGGATACAGGGGTACTGGGATACTGGGATACAGGGGTACTGGGGTACTGGGATAGGGGGTACTGGGATACAGGGGTACTGGGATACTGGGGTACTGTGATAGCGGGGTACTGTGATAGCGGGGTACTGGGGTATAGGGGGGTACTGGGATAGTGGGATAGTGGGGTACTGGGATACACTGGGGTACTGGGATAGCGGGGTGCTGGGGTACAAGGGTACTGGGATAGCAGGATACTGGGGTACTGGGATACCAGGATGGGCTACTGGGATACCAGGATGGGCTACTGGGATGGGCTACCAGGATAGCGGGACACTGGGATACTCAGGTACGGCGATAGCAAGATAGCAGGATAGCAGGATACAGGGATACTGGGATAGTGGGATAGCGGGATAGCGGGATACAGGGGTGGGCTACGGGGATACTGGGATGGGCTACTGGGATAGCAGGATGGGCTAGTGGGATACTGGGATAGCGGGATAGCGGGGTACTGGGATAGCAGGGTACAGGGATACTGGGGTACTGGGATAGCGGGATGGGATAGCGGGGTACTGGGATAGTGGGGTACTGGGATAGTGAGATAGCAGGATACAAGGATACTGGAGTGGGCTACTGGGATACCTGGCTGGGCTACCAGGCTGGGCTACCAGGATATCGGGCTGTGCTACTGGATTGTGGGGCTGGGCCACTGGGCTGGGCTACAGGGACACTGGGATGGGCTACTGGGATACTGGGATGGGCTACTGGATTACCAGGCTGGGATACTGGGCTGGGCTACAGGGACACTGGGATGGGCTACTGGGATACTGGGCTGTGGGGCTGGGCCATCTCACACTCAGGGCCGGGGCAGCCCCTTGAGCCCCTCAGGGGTCAATAAAAACCTCCCTGCCATGGTGGGAGAGCCCGGGGAGGAGTTTGGGCACCAGGGACCCGTGGGACGGGGCATGGTGTGGGTGATTGTCTGGGAAACAGCTTTACTGCCCTGGGAAACACCTTTACCCCTCTGAGAAAACACTTTTTATTCCCCTGAGAAAACACCTTTACTCCCGTGTTTACTCCTCTGAGAAAACACCTTTGTTCCCTTGAGAAAACACCTTTACTGCCCTATGAAAATAGCTTTAGTCCCTTGAAAAAACACCTTTACTCCTTTGAGAAAACACCTTTACTCCCTTGAGAAAACACCTTTACTGCCCTGTGCAAATAACTTTACTTCTCTGTGCAAATATCTTTATTCCTCTGTGCAAAGTAGGCATTTTACCACAATTATACTTATATTAGTTACTTCCCTAAGCTTAATTAACAAGAGAAATAAAACCCCAGATTCCTATAACAAAGCTACTTTAACGTTACACATATAAAATTTATTGTAATAATTTATTTAAAATTTAATAATGATTTATTTAAAATTTATTTTAATTTGTGAAAAGACAATATTATAATATATAATAATAGTAATTATTATTATTAGATACTTATATTAGTTATTTCCCTAAGCTTAATTAACAACAGAAAAAAACCCCATATCTTTATGACAAAGTTACTTTAACATTACACATATAAAATTTATTTCAATAATTTATTTAAAATTTAATAATATTTTTTTAAAACTTGTTTTCATATTTGCAAAAGGCCATTATTATAAAGTATATTGGTCATAATTATTATTTTTGTTATTATTATTAGATACTTATCTTAGTTATTTCCCCAAGCTTAATTAGCAAGAGCAATAAAAAACCAGATCTTTATAACAGTTACTTTAACATTACACATATAAAATTTATTTTAATAAATTATTTTAAATTTATTTTAATATTTGCAAAAAGCCAGTATTAAAGTGTATAATAACTATAATAATTATTTATTATAATTACTGATTATTATAATTAATTAGTATAATGTATATATAATGTAAGCCAATAATATAATGTACAATAATTATTATAATGTGTTATTATAATGCAATATTATAATTAGAATTAATTATAATAATGTATATAGAATGTAAGACAATATTATAATGTATAATCATTGCGATAGTGCATTATAATTATTTATTATTAGGATAATTATAATAATGTATGTATAATGTAAGCCAATATTATAATGTATGATAATTATAATGTATTATTATACATTTTTATTAATGTAGTTGATTATAATAATGTATATATAATGTAAGCCAATAATATGATGTATAATAATTATTATAATGCATTGTAATTATTTATTACTATTTTTATTATTATAATGTATATAAAATGTAAGCCAATATTATAATGTATAATAATTATTATAATGCATTATAATTATTTATTATTATTACTATTTTTATTATTATAATGTATATATAATGTAAGCCAATATTACAATGTATAATTATTATTATAATGCATTATAATTATTTATTATTATTACTATTTTTATTATTATAATGTATATATAATGTAAGCCAATATTATAATGTATAATTATTATTATAATGCATTATAATTATTTATTATTATTATAATGTATATATAATGTGAGCCAATATTATAATGTCCAATAACAATAATTATTATGATTAGCTGCTTAGATGAGATAACATTCCACAAACACATGAAAAAACCACCAGGTACAAACATACCAACCGTCAGCACTCACTGCCTGAAGGCAGCGTGGGCCAGAGCCAAAACTGAAAGTAGTAATTATGAAAAAACCCCTAAAGCCACAACCAGAGAATGCACACACCCTAAAAACAGAGCCAAAGGGAAACCACCCTGAACAGGTCTTAAAGATGTAAAGTAGTTAAAGGAAAAAATTGTGTTTGCTGTACATAAGAGTCTGTGGATAATAATAATAGTAATAACAGTAATAGTGGTAATAGTAATAATAGTAATAGTAATAGTAATAATAATGAATATGGAAATATTCCAGTTTTCTGTCCTTTAAAAACCATCTCCTGTTCAAATTCCCACAGTGTGCCAGTGCCAGAGAAACACCCAGCGTGGTTAATATTTGTTATATTAAATATAGAAATGTATATTTATATTTACATTATATAATTATATTATATAGCTCTATTTATATATTTATATAGAAATATTTACATTTATATATGGAATATAGAAATATTCCAGAGGTTTTTGTCCTTTAAAGAACAACTCCTGTTCAGATTCCCAGGGTGGATTGTCCATAGTGTGCCAGTGCCAGCACCCAGGGTGTTTAATATTTGTTATATTAAATATATGAATAACAATAATGATAGTGGTAACAATATCACCAACATTATTACTATTACTCTTATTATTTTGAATATATAACTATTCCAGAGTTTTCTGTCCTTTAAAGAACAGCTCCTGTTAAAATTCCCAATGTGGATTGTCCACAGTGTGCCAGTGCCACAGAAACACCCAGGGTGGTTAAAATTTGTTATATTAAATATAGAAATGATGATGATGATGATGATGATGATGATGATGGTGATGATGAAAAGTAGTAGTAGTAGTAGCAGTAATAACAATAATGATATTCCTGAGTTCTTTAAAGAACTCTTTTTGTGGATTGCCCACAGTGTGCCAGTGCCAGCCTCAGGGTGGTTAAAATTTGTTATATTAAACCTATAAATTAATAATAATAGCAATAGTAATAGTAATAGCAATAGTAATAATAATTATTAAAATTATTATTAATAATTAATAATGGAATATATAAACATTCCAGAATTTTCTGTTCTTTAAAGAACTCTTTTTGTGGATTACCCCCAGTGTGCCAGCCCCAGGGCACTCAGAGCCTCCAGGAGGTGACATTCTGCCCTGGCTGGGACATCCTGCTGTCCCCAGACTGGCACATCCTGGTGTCCCCACTCTGGCACATCCTGGTGTCCCCAGAGTGTGACACAGGGCTGGCGCATCCTGGTGTCCCCACACTGGCACATCCTGGTGTCCCCACTCTGGCACGTCCTGCTGTCCCCAGAGTGTGACACAGGGCTGGCACATCCTGGTGTCCCCACACTGGCACATCCTGGTGTCCCCACTCTGGCACGTCCTGCTGTCCCCAGAGTGTGACACAGGGCTGGCACATCCTGGTGTCCCCACTCTGGCACATCCTGGTGTCCCCAGAGTGTGACACAGGGCTGGCACATCCTGGTGTCCCCACTCTGGCACATCCTGGTGTCCCCACTCTGGCACATCCTGGTGTCCCCAGAGTGTGACACAGGGCTGGCACATCCTGGTGTCCCCACTCTGGCACATCCTGGTGTCCCCACTCTGGCACATCCTGGTGTCCCCAGAGTGTGACACAGGGCTGGCACATCCTGGTGTCCCCACTCTGGCACATCCTGCTGTCCCCACACTGGCACATCCTGGTGTCCCCAGAGTGTGACACAGGGCTGGCACATCCTGGTGTCCCCACACTGGCACATCCTGGTGTCCCCACACTGTGACACAGGGCTGGCACATCCTGGTGTCCCCACACTGGCACATCCTGCTGTCCCCACACTGGCACATCCTGGTGTCCCCACTCTGGCACATCCTGGTGCCCCCACTCTGGCACGTCCTGCTGTCCCCACTCTGGCACGTCCTGCTGTCCCCAGACTGGCACATCCTGGTGTCCCCACACTGTGACACAAGGCTGGCACATCCTGGTGTCCCCACACTGGCACATCCTGGTGTCCCCACTCTGGCACATCCTGCTGTCCCCAGAGTGTGACACAGAGCTGGCACATCCTGGTGTCCCCAGAGTGTGACACAGGGCTGGCACATCCTGGTGTCCCCACACTGGCACATCCTGGTGTCCCCACTCTGGCACATCCTGCTGTCCCCACACTGGCACATCCTGGTGTCCCCACACTGGCACATCCTGCTGTCCCCACACTGGCACATCCTGGTGTCCCCACTCTGGCACATCCTGCTGTCCCCACACTGGCACATCCTGGTGTCCCCACACTGGCACATCCTGGTGTCCCCACTCTGGCACATCCTGGTGTCCCCACACTGTGACACAAGGCTGGCACATCCTGGTGTCCCCACTCTGGCACATCCTGCTGTCCCCACACTGGCACGTCCTGCTGTCCCCACTCTGGCACGTCCTGCTGTCCCCAGTGTCACTGCAGGCTGAGCAGTCCCTCCGCCCGGGGCTTTGCTCGCTGTGTGTGACACGCAGCCCAGCCTGGCTAAGCCTGGCTTTGAGCTCTCTTTATTCGTCACCACTTTCCTTTTTTAGAGCAGCCCAGGCCGAGCCCCAGCTCTGGAACAGCTGCAGAGATTTGTGCAGCAGGGAGGGAAGGGAAGGTCACTGCTGTCACCTCCTGCTGTCACCCGGCTGTGCTGCAGGGCACGGGGCCTGGCTGCTGTGGCACTGCAGAGAGATCTGTGTGCCCCTCTCTCCTTGCGAAAAACGCCAATCAGTCGTTTTTAAAATTTAAAAAGTAATGCTTAATTAATTAATTTTTAAAATTAATTTTATATTTATTTTAAATCAATTTTAAATTTTATTTTAAATTAATTTTAAATGTTATTTCAAATTAATTTTTATTTAATCTTGTATTTATTTTAAATTAATTTTAAATGTAATTTAAAATTAATTTTTATTTATTGTTATATTTTAAATTAATTTTAAATGCTATTCAAAATTATTTTTAATTTTATTTTATATGTATTTAAAATTAATTTTAAATTTTATTTTAAATTAATATGAAAATAATTTTAAATTTCTTTTAAATTATTTTTAAATTTTAAATTAATTTGAAAATAATTGTAAATTTAATTTTAAATTTTATTTTAAATTAATTTTAATGTAATTTAATAAATTTAAATTAATTTAAAATAATTTTAATCTAATTTAATTTTTAATTAATTACTATTTAATGTAATAATAATAAGTAATTACTAATTAATTCTTTATTTACTATTTAGTAATTTAATATTAATGATTAATTACTATTTAATTTAATAGTAATAAAATTACTATAAGAATAGCAATATAATTAGAGTAATAAAAATCTGGACAATTAGGATTAGGACAATATGAGACAATAAAAACAAAAAGCTGTGGACAGTCCAGGTACCTTTTCTGGGCAAAATAAGCCCGAAAAAGGACCCACGTGAACAGAGGATTAACCCTTAAAAGCAACAGCCTGTTGCATATTCAACATCTCATACATGATGCATAAATTCTATGCAAACACAGGATTCTGTCTGGGCAGTGTCAGCTTCTTCCTTTTAAACATCTTCAGGGCTGAGCAAGGCAGGGAGAAGTCCGTTTCTTCTGATAAGGGAACAGTAAATTCTCTTTCTCTGAAAGATTTGGTTGTCCTGTGGCTGCTATCTCAGTGAGAGTCTTTTTTTCAAAAAAAAAATATCTCACATAGCATAGTTTCTATTTTACATTGTGCTATAACCTAAAACTAGATTTAACACACTACTAAAAAAATGAATACAGCATAACCTTCTAACGTAACACATGTAATATTCATTTTAATGTTTGTGAAAAAACAATCATAAAATGTGCATTTTTCACATTTCCTGCAGCTTTTCCTGCCCTCCCATTTCCCTCTCTCTGCTCCCCAAAGCTGCTCCTGCTCTGTCTGGGCTCTGCAGGATGCTCAGAGACAGAAAAATGTGGATATGTGTCCATATAAAAGTGAATTTTTCTCTGCTGCTGCCATGGCTGGGGTCCCCCTCCAGTGCTGGGACCCAGGGTGACTTTCACAGAGAATTCCCTCCGTGGCAGCTCTGGCACAGCCTGAGTTTGTCTCTCCTCTCTCTCTCCCCCATGTCCCTGGCACAGGCAGAGGAAGGATGAGCTGGAGCAGAGGATGTCAGCCCTGCAGGAGAGCAGGAGAGAGCTGATGGTGCAGCTGGAGGGGCTGATGAAGCTGCTCAAAGTAAGGAACCAAAGGCACAACATCTTTCCTTTCCTTTCCTTTCCTTTCCTTGAAATTTCCTTTCCTTTCCTTTCCTTTCCTTGAAATTTCCTTGAAATTTCCTTTCCTTGAAATTTCCTTTCCTTTCCTTTCCTTTCCTTTCCTTTCCTTTCCTTTCCTTTCCTTTCCTTCCCTTCCCTTCCCTTCCCTTCCTTCCCTGGGTGCTCTGGGCTCCCTGCTTTGCTGCCATTCCCTAAAAACCCTCCCTGAGTTTGCCAAAAGCCATTTCCATGCCAAAAGCAGGAGTTTCCATGCCAAAAGCCATTTCCATGCCAAAAGCCATTCCCATGCCAGCTCTGTGTGGGATGCTGGGGGTGAAGGTTCCTCCAGGTTTTTGTGGGTAAAGCCTGCAGAACCCCACATCTGAGGGGGGTTTGAGGCAGTTTGGTTTGGTACCTGGGGCTCAGCGCTCCCCAGTGTGGTTTTTGAGGATAAAACCTGCGGAATCTGGCATCTGGAAGGGTTTGAAGGAGTTTGGAGTTGGGACCTGTGATTCAGCACTCCCTGGTGTGGTTTTTGTGGGTAAAACCTGCAGAACCCCAGATCTGGGGGGGTTTGAAGGATTTTGGGTTGGTACCTGGGCTCAGCACTCCCCACTGGCACTGGGAAATAAATGGGGAGCAGGGCAGGGGGTGAGTGAGGGTCCCAGTTGTGGCTTTCTCTGGGTCTGGATTGAAGGCAGGAATTCCAGCCCTTCCCTCCATCCTGGGCAGGAATTCCAGCCCTTCCCTCCATCCTGGGCAGGAATTCCAGCCCCTTCCCACCATTCTGGGCAGGAATTCCAGCCCCTTCCCTCATTCTGGGCAGGAATTCCAGCCCTTCCCTCCATCCTGGGCAGGAATTCCAGCCCTTCCCACCATCCTGGGCAGGAATTCCAGCCCTTCCCTCCATCCTGGGCAGGAATTCCAGCCCTTCCCTCAATTCTGGGCAGGAATTCCAGCCCTGTCCCCATTCTGGGCAGGAATTCCAGCCCTTCCCTCCATCCTGGGCAGGAATTCCAGCCCTTCCCTCATCCTGGGCAGGAATTCCAGCCCTGTCTCCATCCTGGGCAGGAATTCCAGCCCTTCCCACCATTCTGGGCAGGAATTCCAGCCCCTTCCCTCATCCTGGGCAGGAATTCCAGCCCTGTCTCCATCCTGGGCAGGAATTCCAGCCCTTCCCACCATTCTGGGCAGGAATTCCAGCCCCTTCCCTCATCCTGGGCAGGAATTCCAGCCCCTCCCTCCATCCTGGGCAGGAATTCCAGCCCCTTCCCTCATCCTGGGCAGGAATTCCAGCCCCTTCCCTCATCCTGGGCAGGAATTCCAGCCCTGTCTCCATCCTGGGCAGGAATTCCAGCCCTTCCCACCATCCTGGGCAGGAATTCCAGCCCCTTCCCTCATCCTGGGCAGGAATTCCAGCCCTTCCCACCATCCTGGGCAGGAATTCCAGCCCCTTCCCTCATCCTGGGCAGGAATTCCAGCCCTTCCCTCCATCCTGGGCAGGAATTCCAGCCCTTCCCACCATCCTGGGCAGGAATTCCAGCCCCTTCCCTCCATCCTGGGCAGGAATTCCAGCCCCTTCCCTCAATTCTGGGCAGGAATTCCAGCCCTTCCCTCATCCTGGGCAGGAATTCCAGCCCTGTCTCCATCCTGGGCAGGAATTCCAGCCCCTTCCCTCAATTCTGGGCAGGAATTCCAGCCCCTTCCCTCATCCTGGGCAGGAATTCCAGCCCTGTCTCCATCCTGGGCAGGAATTCCAGCCCTTCCCTCATCCTGGGCAGGAATTCCAGCCCCTCCCTCCATCCTGGGCAGGAATTCCAGCCCCTTCCCTCATCCTGGGCAGGAATTCCAGCCCTTCCCTCCATCCTGGGCAGGAATTCCAGCCCCTTCCCTCATCCTGGGCAGGAATTCCAGCCCTTCCCACCATCCTGGGCAGGAATTCCAGCCCCTTCCCACCATTCTGGGCAGGAATTCCAGCCCCTTCCCTCAATTCTGGGCAGGAATTCCAGCCCCTTCCCACCATTCTGGGCAGGAATTCCAGCCCTTCCCTCAATTCTGGGCAGGAATTCCAGCCCTGTCCCCATTCTGGGCAGGAATTCCAGCCCTGTCCCCATCCTGGGCAGGAATTCCAGCCCTGTCCCCATTCTGGGCAGGAATTCCAGCCCCTTCCCACGATCCTGGGCAGGAATTCCAGCCCTTCCCTCCATCCTGAGCAGGAATTCCAGCCCCTCTCCCACACCTGAGCACAACACACTGGCCAAGTTTGGAATTCTGCTTTTTCCTGAAGCCAGTTCCCAATCTCCCACTCAAATCCCCTTTTCCCCCTCTGGAGCCCTGCAGATGAAATCTCTTCCAGAAGAACATCTGTTCCTCTGGAGCTGGGGGAATCCAAAGCTCAGAATTCCCTGCCAATGCAGCTTTGCCTGAGCATCAGAAATTCGTGCCTGGTTTTCAGTGTGAGCTGGCTTTGCCCTCTTTGTTCTCTTCCCTCAAACCCAGCTACAAATTCAGAACTGCAGGGAATGGGCAAAATGTCACCCAGAACGTCACCCAGAACAGCTCTGTCCCCTGAGCTGTGCCCATCAGAACCTCCTGAGCCCAGCTCTGCTCCCTCAGGGCTGTTAAACCCCTTAAACAGGGATTGAAATGCCTTAAGCAGGCACAGCTGGGCCCTCACAGCCCCTGCTCCGCTCTGCTGGGGATGGGCTCTGTGCCCTGCCCAGACTTTTAATATCAATTATTTATATTTATTTTTATTTTTATATTTTTATATTTTGGGAAAGCAAGCTGGCGGTTGAGTTCCTGCTTATTTTTATTTTATTTTTATTTTTAATGTTTGGAAAAGCAAGCTGGAGTACCTATATTTATATTTATATATTTATATATTTATATATTTATATATTTATATATTTATATATTTATATATTTATATATAAATATATTTATATATTTATATTTATATTTATATTTAATCCTGGCTCTATTATTTTTTATTATTTTAAGGGATCTTAATATTTTATTTTATTTTATTTTATTTTAAATTTATTTTAAATTTCTTTTTTATTTGCCTTATTTTAAAAATTATTTTAAAATTATTTTCATTATTTTAAGGGATTTTAAAATAATGAAACTTTTACTTTATTTTAATTTATTAATTTATTATTTTATTCTTTTATTTTAATTTATTTTTAATTATTTTCGAATTATTTTTAAATTATTTTAAGTATTCTAATGGATTTTAATTATTTAATTTTATTTTAATTTATTCATTTATTCTTCTATTATTTTATTTTAATTTATTTTTATTTTAATTATTTTTAACTTATTTTTAAATTATTTTCAATATTTTAGGGGATTTTAATTATATTATTTCAATTTAATTTATTTTATTTTAATTTGTTTTTTCTTTTAATTATTTTAAAATTATTTTTTAACTTCTAAAATTATTTTAAGGCATTTTAATTATTTTATTTTAATGTATTAATTTAATAATTTATTTTAATTTAATTTTTATTTTAATTATTTAAAATTATTTTAAGGGAATTATTTTAAGCTGCAAGTCCCCCAGCCTGCTGAGCTAATAATACCATTTCTCCCAGGTACTTTTGACACCTTTTTCTCATGGTTGGCGTCAGGATCCCAGCCCGGCCCTGCTGCCCCAGGCTCTGCTCTGCTCCTGATGCTGCTCTTTATTTCCAGTTTTCTCCTTCTCAGTGCTTTTAGCCCTGCCAGACACGATTTTCCCCCGCCAGGTTTTTGCTTCTCTCCTCACTTGGAGCTCCTCAGAGCTGTTCATGTATAATTTACATCAGCTGTTAAGCTTTTATGGGGATTTTTTTTTTCCATTTCCTTATACAGTGTTTTTTACATTTTTAATGCCGCCTTCATTTCACCGTTTAGGGCTGGATTCAGCTCACCCAGCCCTGCATGCCTCAGAGTTTGGGGCCTGAAGTTCCTCTCTGAAGGGAATGAGTGAGGAAAGATCCTGGAGATCAAGGGGCAGCTCTGACCCTGATCTCTGGGACAGGAGCCAGGGAAGGGCTGGAACAGGGAATTTGGGGTGGATTTTGGGAAAGGTTCATCCCCAGAGGGTGCTGGCACTGCCCAGGGCATGGGCACATCCCCAAACCCTGCAGAGCTCCAGGAGGGTTTGCACAGCACAGCCAGGGATGGCCAGGGTGGGATTTGGGGATCTGGGGGGCTCTGGGCAGGGCAGGAGCTGGGGGATGGTCCTGGGGGTCCCTCCCAAGCCAGAATGTTCCATGGTTCCATCTGTGCAAGGCCATCCAGGGCTGTCCCTGAGGTTCAGCCATTGTCCCCACGCCGTGCTGGTGGCACTCAGGGCAGGGAGAGGCCCTGGACGAGGCCCTTCCAAGCAAACCAGTCCTGGTGCTGTGATTTCTGGGTGTTCTGGTTCTGTGACTTCTGACCCTTCCTGTTCTGTGATTTCTGACCCTTCCTGTTCTGTGATTTCTGATTGTTCTGGTTCTGTGATTTCTGAGCATTCTGTGTTTTCTGACTGTTCCGGTTCTGTGACTTCTGACCCTTTCCATTCTGTGATTTCTGGCTGTTCTGGTTCTGTGGTTTCTGACCCTTTTGGTTCTGTGATTTCTGACCATTCTGTGATTTCTGACCAATCTGTGATTTGTGACCATTCTGGGATTTCTGACTGCTCTGGTTCTCTGATTTCTGACCATTCCAGTTCTGTGATTTCTGACCATTCCAGTTCTGTGATTTCTGACCCTTCTGTGATTTCTCACCATTGCCATTCTGTGATTTCTGGTTGTTCTGGTTCTGTGATTTCTGACTGTTCTGGATCTATGCTTTCTGACCCTTCCCATTCTCTGATTTCTGACCCTTCTGTGATTTCTGACCGTTCCCATTCTGTGATTTCGGACCCTTTTGGTTCTGTGATTTCTGACCATCCTCATTCTGACCATTCCCATTCTGTGATTTCTGACTGTTCTGTGATTTCTGACCATCCTCATTCTGACCATTCCAGTTCTGTGATTTCTGACCCTTCTGTGATTTCTGACCTTTCTGTAATTTCTCACCATTGCCATTCTGCAATTTCTGACTGTTCTGGGTCTGTGATTTCTGACCCTTCTCATTCTGTGATTTCTGACTATTCCCATTCTGTGATTTCTGACCCTTCCCATTCTGTGATTTCTGACCATCCCCATTCTGTGTTTTCTGACCATTCTGTCATTTCTCAGCACTCCCATTCTGACCATTCTGAGATTTCTGACCATCCCCATTCTGTCATTTCTGACATTTCTGTGATTTCTGACCATTCCCATTCTTTGCTTTCTGACCTTCCCCATTCTGTGATTTCTGTGATTTCTGACCCTTCCCATCCTGTGATTTCTGACCATTCTGTGATTTCTGACCATCCCCACTCTGTGATTTCTGACCATCCCCATTCTGTGATTTCTGACCCTTCTGTGATTTCTGACATTCTGTGATTTCTGACCTTTCCCATTCTGTGATTTCTGACCATGCTGGTTGTTTGTTAGGTTTGGGGTTAATTGACCCCCCCTGGGGTGTTCCCTGATAATCCCATCATCTCCTGCTGTTCCTGGCCCCTCACAGGGCCCTCCCCAGCTGCTGCAATCGAGGCAGGGTTGGGATTTCTGAGCGCTCCCCACAAATCACCCCTGGCAGCGCTGACCCTTCCAGCTGTGGGAATTCCTGCAATCCCAGACTGGGCTGGCAGGGAAGGCAGGGAATCTGGGGCTGCCCCACCATGGAAGTGTCCCTGGCCAGGTTCTACAGGGCTGGAGCCCCCTGGGATGGTGTCCCCAGGTGGGATCTCAGGGGTTTCCCCACCTGAGCCATCCTGGGGCTGTGGCTCCATCCCCCATTCCCTCATTCCCCCATTCCCTCATTCCCTCATTCCCTCATTCCCCCATTCCCTGATCCCCACAGCCCCCATGGCTGTGCTGAGGGTCCCTGGGGACCCCTGGGTGCTCCTCCCGTGGATTTCCATGGAAATCCAGCACACAGATCCCATTTCCCCTCTGCATTTCCCCCCTGGCCATTTCCTCTGTGATTTATCCTGCAGACAGATCCCATTTCCCTCTGCACTTCCTCTGTGATTTATTCAGCCCACAGATCCCATTTTCTCCCTGGCCATTTCCATGGAAATCCAGCAGACAGATCCCATTTCCCTCCTGCATTTCCTCTGTGATTTACCCAGCAGACAGATCCCATTTCCCTCCTGCATTTCCTCTGTGATTTATCCAGCCCACAGATCCCATTTCCCTCCTGCATTTTTTCTGGGATTTATCCAGCAGACAGATCCCATTTCTCCCCTGCATTTCCTCTCTGGCCATTTCCTCTGTGATTTATCCTGCACTGCTCAGCCCCAGCCCTGCTCAGAGAGGGATTTCCACATCTGTGCTCAATGCCAGGGCCTCGTTTTTCAAAGCAACATTTTTTTTTGGTGTGGTGTGGAGGTGATTGAAGATCTTTTCCCTGAACTGGGTCCCCATCTGGTCCCGCTGCTGGTGGGAGGCACAAAATTTGGGATGTGGGGGTGGCCAGGCCCCACACCTACTAAAAACCACCAAAAACACACCTGAAGGAAGCCCAAATCTTGTCAAAAACCCCCAAAATATCTTCTCAAAGCCTCAGAATTGTCCCCCAGGCTGGGTGGGAGAGCAGCTCTCAGTGGTCAGCAGGGAGAAGCTGCTTTAAATGAAGGGAAAGGTTCTGGTTAATCCTGCTCAGATGGGAGATCAGCAGGGGAAGGGTGATAAATGGGTTCGTGGATTTCCAGGCCAGAAGGAGCTTTTATCCCAGGGTTTTAATGCCATGACCTGGATTTCTGGGGGGCTGCAGCAGGAGCAGGGCAGGGCTGGGACTGGCATAGACAGGGGTCAGGATTCCTGACCATTCCAGTTCTGTGACTTCTGACTGTTCCCATTCTGTGATTTCTGACCATTCTGTGATTTATTCATCATTTATTCATCCCAGGGTCACAGCCCTGCTGGCTCTCATCTGTGAGAGCACAAAATCCATGGAAATGTCTGAATTCCCAGGGGCGTTTTGGTCTGGGTGACATTTTGCTCATTCCCAGCAGTTCTGCTGCAGCTGAAGGCAGGATGTGCCTCCACCAGCCCTGCCCAGTCACATCTTCCTGCTTCCAAAGGGGACAAATTCACCTGAATTTCACTTTGTTTTTTGTACTGAGACATTCCTGCAGTGCAGGAGCTGCTCTTTCTCTGCTCAGCATCCCTGTTCCTTTTTTATTTTAATTATTTTTAAAATATATTTTAATTATCTTAAGGGAATTTTATTTTATTTTATTTTATTTTATTTTATTTTTAATATTTTATATATTTATATATATTTTCATTTTTTCAATATTTTATTTTATTTTATTTTTAATATTTTATATGTTTATATACATTTTATATTTTTTTAATATATTTAATATATATTTTATATATATTCATATATATTTTTATATAGTGTATATCTTTTAATATTTTATATATTTATATATATTGTTATATTTTTAATATTTTATTTTATTTTAATTTTAATTTTTATATATTTTATATATTTTTAATATATTTTATATATATTTTTATATATTTTATATATTTTTATATATATTTTATTTTATTTTATTTTATTTTATTTTATTTCCTGTGCCCTGCCAGCCCTGCTTGCTGTGCCCTTGGCAGTGCCAGGGGAGCTGACCCAGAGGGATCTTGTGCCGCTGGGGCTCTGTGCTGCCCCTTTTGTGTGTTTGGACACTCCCAGGGGCACCTCCAGACTTTATAGGATGGATTTGGGGTCTGTTGGAGGTCTGGAGCAGGATTTGAGGATCATGGCACGGTTTGGGTGGGAAGGGAGCACAAATCCCACCTGCCATGGGCAGGGCACCCTCCCTGTGCCAGGCTGAGCCCACAAATTCCTGCCCAAAGGAGCAGAAACACCCCTGGGTGTCCCCTCCTAGCCAGGATCCCTGCTGGCACCCTCTGTGCCCACCACCAGAGTGGGACAAACGGGACAAATAATGGGAAAAATGGGACAAATAATGGGACAAATGTCACCTGTGCTGCCCCTCAGCCCTCGTGCCCTGCCCTGCTGCAGGTGCTGGCGCCACGTCCTGTCCTTTCACTGGGTGCTGTGGGTGAAATCATCATTTTCACACCATGACTGACCTTTTTTCTCTCTCTCTCTCCACCTTTTCCCTCCTCTCCAGGAAGAAGAACAAAAGCAGGCAGTAAGTTGACTTCACCTTGTAGGTGATCTGACTTTTTATTTTTCCCCCTTCGTGCATGAAATCCATTTTCTGTTAATTGCCTTGTCTGCAAATGAACCCTGGGGATGAAGGGGGGGCTTTTCCTGCCTGGGATGTGGAGCAGAACCTCCCCGAGCTGGTTGTGTGTGTGTCTGTCTGTGTGTGTGTCTGTCTGTGTGTCTGTCTGTCTGTCCCGGAGTTCTCCCTTCTCCCTTTCCAGGGAATTTCATTGCCGCAGGGCAGGGCTGCTGAGGCTTTTGTGGAATCGTGCACAGGAACGGGGATTCTGATTTCTGGGAGGGCTCCACGGGCTCAGAGAGCTTTCCTGCCTCTTCAGGAATCCTTTCATTTGCCTCCTCGCCGCATGCAAGCCCACGCAGGAAAACTAATTAATGACTTAATATTGCGGGCACGGCTCCATGGCCCCCGGCCCCTGGAGGGGGTGAGGGAGGGAACGTCTGGGCTTTGTTCCGTCCCCGTTTTCGGGATCCACTCCAGAGGGAGCCCTGCTGCTGTCTGCTGCTCTCGGAGCCGCCAGATGTTTGCAGCAGGAGCTGTGCAGCGTTTCTGAGCGCTCCTTTGCGCCCAAAGCTTTGATGGGCGTTAATCCGTCTGCTGTTTCTCACAGACATGGCTGCATGTTGGAAATATTGGCAATTTTTGGGGCTCCTTTTTGTGGGGAAATAGAGATTTTGGGGCAGCATCTAACATTTCAGTTTTAGGTGTGCTGGAAGTGCCTTGGTGACTCCCGGGTGGGTTTGCGTTGCTGTGCCCAGGCTGGGGTAGTGGAATATTTGGGTGGGAAGGGACCCCAAACCTCACCCAGAGCCACCCCTGCCATGGCAGGGACATTTCCACTGTTCCAGAATGCTCCAGTGCCCAGCCTGGGCACTGCCAGGGATGCAGGGGCAGCCCCAGCTGCTCTGGGAATTCCGTCCAGCCCCTGCCCACCCTGCCAGGGGAGGATTTGCCCTGTGTCCCACCCAGAGCCCTCCCCAGGTGTGGTATTTTATGGGGTCCCTGTTGTTGGAAGGAAAGAAGGAATCTGACTCCATGTTCTTAGAAGACTAAATTTGTAATATAATATAATATAATATGATATAATATAATATAATATAATATAATATATTTTCATATTATTATATAATATATTATTATATAATATATAATTACATAACATGTTATTATATAATATAATATATAATTTATTTATATTATAATAGCAATTTTATATATTATATAAATATATAGTATTTTAATTCTATATTATTATAATTATTAAATGATATTAAGTTTATTTAATTATTTTAATTTATTTATTAAATTAAATATTATACTGTAATATTATGTGTTGCTTTAATAATATATTATTATTTATAAATATAGAATGATATAAATATATATTATTATATTTATATGTAATATAAGAAAAATGTTTTATATTCTATAACATATAATTATAGAATATATTATAATATAATATCATATCATATCATATCATATCATATCATATATTTTCATATTATTATATTATATATTATTATATTATATATAATTACATAACATGATATAATATAATATAATATAATGTAATATAAAATTTATATTATATTATATTATATTATATTATATTATATTATATTATATTATATTATATTATATTATATTATATTATATTATATTATGGAATAGAGAAAGGATACTTACAGAAGGCTACAAATAGTGATAATTAAAAACTCGTGACTCTCTCCAGAGTCCGACACAGCCTGACCCTGACTGGTCATTAAGTCAAAAACAATTCACATGAAACTAATGAACAATCACCTGTTGGACAAACAATCTCCAACCACATGCCAAAGCAGCCAAACCCAGGAGAAGCAAATGAGATAAGAATTGTTTTCCTTTTTTCTCAATTTCCAAGAATCCTGGGCAAGGGGATTTTTCAGGGAACGTGATGGTGACACCTGGGTTTGCTGGGGCTCTGGCAGGAGGGATTTGGTTGGGATTTGGGTTGTTGAAGGATCCCCCCTGGGTGTGATCTCTGCAGGGAAGGGCAGGGCTTTGTGTCAGCCCCGTGCTCCTCTGGATCGTGGGTGTAGGAAAAGGGGAAACGCGAGATCAGGGCGCAAGCTGAGCAGTTTCAAATCCCCTTTTCCCCTGGAGCACTGTGTCAGGAGGAGGGTAAAGAGCCAAAACTGAAATAACACCAGTGACATTCCATCGGGGCCCAGCCCTCTGGAGCCAGGGAGGCAGCAGCCAAAGTTGGTTTGAGGCTCAAAAAAGGCAGATTTTGGGGCAACCAAGGGACACAGTTCTGGTCTGCAGGAAGTGAAATTTGACATCCTGGCTTTGCATGGTCTGGAGTGGCTTGAGCTGCTCCCCCCTGGCTGGGAAGGGAAGGTTGGGAATCCCAGGAAAGGCTGAGAATCCCAAACAGGCTCAGAAATCTCCCCTGGCTGTGAAGGTGCAGCCTGAGAAGTTTGGAAATCCCAGGATAGGTTGAGAAATCCCAGGACAGACTGGGAAATCCCAGGACAGACTGTTTGTTTGATATTGATTTAAATTTTTAATTTTTTAATGATTTTTTTTTTATGTGTTATAGGGAAATAGAGGGGTGTTCTTATAGTTTTATGAGGGGGTTTTAGTTTTAAGATTAAGGTTTTTGGGATTTTTTTAAAATTTATTTTTAAAATTATTTTGATTTTTTTGCGTTGTTTTTTATATGTCTGTGTTTTGGGGTTTTTTATTTGGGGTATGCTTGAAGTATTTAAATGTTTTGTTTGGGGTTTGTAGATGGTTATTTGGGGTTTGAGGTGGGAATTGTGGTTGGGGTTGTGTTAGGATTGGTTCTAGGGCTGAGTTTGGAGGTTTTTTTGTATTTAATTTTAATTGTAGAGTTATGTTTAGTTGGTGTTTGTGGTGGGAATTGTGTTGGGATTGGTTCTATGGCTGGTTTTGGGTTTTGTTGTATTTAATTTTAATTGAAAGGTTTTGTTAATTGGTGTTTGAGGTGGGAATTGTGGCTGGGCTTGTTTTAGGATTGGTTGTAGGTTTGGTTTTGGGTTTTGTTTTATTTAATTTTAATTGTAGGGTTATGATTTATTTGGTGTTTGTGGTGGGAATTGTGGTTGTGTTAGGATTGGTTGTGTGGCTGGTTTGTGGTTTTGTTGTACTTATATTTCCTTGCAGGGTTATGTTTTATTCAGTGTTTGTGGTGGTAATTGTTGGGGTTGTGTTAGGACTGGTTGTAGGGTTGGTTTTGGGGTTTTGTATTTAATTTTGGCTGTAGGGTTATGCTTATTTGGTGTTTGGTTGGGATGATGTTAGGATTGGTTGTAGGGCTTGTTTTGGGGTTTTGCAGTATTTAATTTTAATTGTAGGTTTATGTTTATTTAGTGTGTGTGGTGGGAATTGTGGTTGGGGTTGGGTTAGGGTTGGTTGTAGGGCTGGTTTTTGGATTTTGTTGTATTTAATTTTAGTTGTAGTTATGCTTATTTGGTGTTTGTGGTTGGAGTGATGTTTGGATTGGTTGTAAGGTTGGTTTTTGGGGTTTTTCATTTAATTTTAGCTGTAGGATTATGATTTATTTGGTGTTTGTGGTGGGAATTTCTTTGTGGTGGTTGAGGTGATGTTAGGATTGGTTGTAGGGTTGGTTTTGGGGGTTTTTTTTGTATTTAATTTTAGTTTTAGGGTTATGTTTATTTGGTGTTTGTGGTTGGGGCTGTTAGGATTGGTTGTATGGATGTTTTTTGGGTTTTGTTTTATTTAATTTTAGTTGTAGGGTTATGCTTTATTTGGTGTTTGTGGTTGGGGTTGTTAGGATAGGTTGTACGGTTGGTTTTGTGGTTTTGTTGTATTTATATTTCATTGTAGGGTTATGTTTTATTCAGTGTTTGTGGTGGGAATTGGGGTAGGATTGGTTGCATGTTTGGTTTTTGGGTTTTTTAAATTTAATTTTAGTTGTAGGGTTATGTTTTATGGTGTTTGTTGTTGGGGTGGTGTTAAAATTGGTTGTAGGGTTGGTTTCGGGTTTTTTAAATTTAATTTATTTGTAGGGTTATTTTGTGGGTTGCAGGGTTGTTTGGGGGATTTTTGTATGATTTTGTGTGGTGGCTGTGCAGGGGGGAGAGGATTTGGTGCCACATGGTCAGAGCTGAGCTCCCATCGAGGCTTGGGCACGTTCTGTTCTGACCTGGGCCCCTGGAGAGCCTGGAGTGATGTCACAGCCCCGGGGTGACGTCATAGCTATGGAGTGATGTAATAGCTATGGAGTGACGTCACAGCCCCGGGGTGACATCACAGCCCCGGTGTGACGTCATAGCCCTGGAGTGAGGTCATAGCTATGGAGTGATGTCACAGCCCTGGCGTGATGTCATAACCCCAGTGTGATGCCATAGCCCTGGAGTGATGTCATAGCCCTGGAGTGATGTCATAACCCTGGTGTAATGCCATAGCTATGGAGTGATGTCATAGCTATGGAGTGATGTCATAGCTATGCAGTGATGTCACAGCCCCGGTGTGACGTCATAACCCTGGTGTGATGTCATAACCCCAGTGTGGTGTCATAGTCCTGGAGTGATGTCACAGCCCTGGTGTGATGTCACAACCCTGGTGTGATGTCATAGCCCTGGTGTGATGTCATAGCCTTGGTGAGCTGGGATGGGTTAGTCCTGCTCTGGGTTAACTGGGATGGGTTAGTCCTGCTCTGGGTTAACTGGGATGGGTTAGTCCTGCTCTGGGATAAACTGGGATGGGTTAGTCCTGCTCTGGGTTAACTGGGATGGGTTAGTCCTGCTCTGGGATAAACTGGGATGGGTTAGTCCTGCTCTGGGTTACCTGGGATGGGTTAGTCCTGCTCTGGGATAAACTGGGATGGGTTAGTCCTGCTCTGGGTTAACTGGGATGGGTTAGTCCTGCTCTGGGATAAACTGGGATGGGTTAGTCCTGCTCTGGGTTACCTGGGATGGGTTAGTCCTGCTCTG